AAGCCCGATGGGCGGAACTCCTTAGTGGGTTCACCTTCGATATTCGATATCGAGCGGGTTCGACGAACCTGGCTGACCCCCTCAGCAGACAGCCGATAGGGGCAGCAACACGTCTAGACGACACAGAGAATGCGGCAGTATTTTCTACTTGCTTCAGTGTCCTAGCAATGGCTCGAGTGAGTGAGATTACCTTCAGTGGTTTCCTGAAACGCATCCGCACAGGGTATCAAATTGACTCCTGGTTTCAGGACCCACGAAACACTAAGGAACTCAAGTGGGAGCATGAGCTCTGGTGGCGTAAGAAGGGGATCGCTGTACCTCACGTAGGTAGCCTGCGGAACGATATTCTGGAAGAAGTGCATGCCACTAAGTACGGAGGGCACCTAGGGGTCAAAAAGACCAGGTGGGCCTTGAGTGATGTATACTTGTGGCCGGGATCGGGCACTGAGGTCCAGCAATACGTGGCGCACTGCGACGCATGCGCACGAAATAAAACGGACATAAAGAAGCCGGTGGTTTGCTTCAACCACTCGAGATCCCGAATGAACCTTGGGAGAGTGTATCCTTGGATTTTATCACGGACCTTCCTAAGACTCGTGATGGCCATACAGCGATCCTAGTGTTTGTGGATCGTCTGACAAAAATGGTGCATTTCGTGGCTACTACAACTGACGTATCCGCGGAAGATACGGCCAAATTGTTTGTGGCACACGTTTTCCGCTTACACGGGTTACCACGTGTATTGGTGTCCGACCGGGATCCGTGCTTCACAAGCCGGTTCTGGCAAGAAGTCACACGGACACTAGGAACGAAGCTTAAGTTGTCATCGGCGTTCCACCCACAAACCGATGGGCAGACGGAACGAACAAACCGGACACTTGAGCAGATGCTTCGTTCATTCATTGGCCCAACTCAGGATGATTGGGACGAGTTGTTGCCTGTCGTTAAATTCGCAGTGAACAATTCAGTTCATGAAGGTACACGTGAGAAACCTTTCATTCTGAACTATGGTCGGCATCCCACAACGCCTGCTACGCATGGGATCGGCGGATTGAAAATTCCAACCGCTAAAGACTTTGTTGGCAAGCAGCAAGAAGCGCTTAAGTCTGCTCGCCATTGGCTACAACTCTCTCAACAGCGACAAAAGTCTTACGCCGACATGAAACGCCGGGAAGTCTCGTTTGAGGTTGGAGACAAAGTTTTGTTAAGCACGAAGAACATTCGTCTCAAAATCCCTGGAGCAAGAAAGTTGTTCCCTCGATGGATTGGGCCCTTCGAGGTGATCAAGCGTGTTGGTGTGGTAGCTTACAAGCTTAAGCTACCTGACACTTTACAGATTCACAACGTCTTCCATGTGTCTTTGTTGAACAAGTACGTTGCAGAGGGCAAGTACTTACTGCCACCAACGATCGTCCTGGGGGAGGAACTGTTTTATGAAGTCGAACGAGTGCTAATGCATCGTGATCGACAACGCGGCCGAAAGACAGTACGAGAGTTCCTCATCAAGTGGAAAGGCTATGGGCCTGAACACAACTCATGGGAGCCAGAAGAGCATCTGACTGAAACTGCAGTTCAGTCATACACGACAGACCTGGCTCGACGAGCTGCCGCACAACCAGTGGAGGGCGTTGACCCTGGTCGTAATGTGACACGGCGTACTCGAAGCGCTCGTCCTCAGAAGCACCCTGAGGCAACGGGGACGTTGCCACCTAGGGGGGGAGGAGTGTAACGCATAACCTACTCTGCCTCATCTACCGCTAACTTCCTAAGTCAACATCGAGAGACTTCCTCGATGAGAAATGACGTGAAGGCAATCGGGAAGATTGAGTTGGAGAAGAACATTGGTTTGGTTTTCCCAACCCTCAACCTTGAGGTTTGGAAACTTCCAACCCATCAAAGTGAAGATTGGAAAGGTTGGATTTCCAACCAATCAAGTTGTGCCAGTTGTTGTTACAATCCACACAAACTTAAAACAACCATACAATTGTGCTAAGTTGGGTTTTTCCCAACCAAACTAAATTGCCACTTAGGCTCCAAGCCTATTAGCTCCCCAACCATGGAAGCCATGGTTGGGAAAAGCCCCAAGGGGTATGGTGGAAGGGGTTGGAGCTCTCAAGCTCATTCCCACTTCCCAACTCCAACAATCTAACTTGGAAATGGGATTTTTACTCTAAGTCTTTTGGGTTCTCCTAATAAGCTCCCCTACACAACTAGACATGTGATTTTTCAAGGACAAGCTCTACAAGAAGCTCCTACCTACTTATTAAAGCTTCATCAACCTTTTTCAAGCTCCCTTTCTCCTCTCAAGCTTGAGGAGTACTATCGAAGCTAAATTACCCCTTGGTGGGATTAGTTGATCTTGGAAGCCTTTTATCTTGATTTTATAAATGTTGTCAAGGGTGATTTATATTTAACACACGGTTGCCCGTTGTTATAAGGGCCGTGATTGTTACATTTGGTACCCGTGTAGGTCACCAGTTTTCGCAAAAATGTTCAGCAGTAGGTTGCAAGAAGAGAAGAAGAGCGCCGTTCACATACAGGATACAGACGGCCCTACCTTAGAGAAGCTGATTTCTTTCATGTATTCTGGCGATTTACCTCTGAAAACTGCAGCCATGCCGGTGAGTTTACAGAGATTGAGCTGGATTGGGTTTGACCTGTCAATGGAATCGAAATTATGTTTTGTTCCATGTAGTTGCCACTGCTCTGACTTCAATTTTCCTCCCTATGCGGTGCAGGAAATTAAACTGCTAGTGGCTGCGGATAAATATCAAGTTCTAGAGCTCAAGGAGCACTTGTGTTTAACTTTGTGCGGATCCCTAGATAATGACATTGTGTTTGAGGCATTCAGAGTAGCTGACATGCACGACGCTCCTTCAGTGCGGCAAGCTTGTGCAGATTACATTCTCAAGAGCATGGACCGAAAAGCAAGCTCCCCTGTTATAATGGTAAGGGCAAACCTTTGTAGAAACCTTGTGTCGCTGATTCTATTTCCACCTATGGTTTTAGATGCGTTAATGTGTGTGGTGTGCAGGAAATGCTGCTTGGGAAAGACCCACAGAGCAAGAGACTGGCAGCTGAGCTTCTGGAGAGGGGATGGCTGAATAAATGACGCGAATGATTGCCTAGCTGAGCTTGCTAGATTTTCTCAGCTGTCAGCGAGTCGGCACGCTAAAAAAACACTCACAGGAAGCTCCTCTTTCTCAAGGTGAATGCCATGAGAAATAACGTGGCCTGGCCTGGCCACCACTCACTAGCCTAAGCACCACTCACTAGCCTAAGCAATATCTCATTGCAAATCATGTGGTTCAGGAATTAAGCTCTCTTGTGGCAGTATTTTCAGATGTGCTTGTATTTTTCTCCACATGTGGTGGTGGTACCATATGGATGAAGATGATTATGGATCTTAGTATATAATCAGTTGTATTTATTTTGTGTATCACTATCATTCTGAGACACTATCAGTTCATCTTTTACACTAAACTGGGTATTCACAAATCTGAGGACTTGAAAACTAATGTACAATTTTCTCCAAGAACCACCCACCCCTGCTTTCCATTCCAGTGTCAACTGAGTCACGTTTGTTGCTAGTAGCGAGTTGTTTCTGGTGAAGGTGTGCATCGTCACAATTGGTCTGGCGTTCCACATGCCACATTCGATTGGTCTGTAAAATCGACATTCTATTGGTGGAAATGTAGTGACGTGGAATTTATAGCCAACCAGAGGCATCAAAAGCTGCTGAGGAGTGTGAAACATGACTCACACGCGCCAATTTTCTGTCACAGCCAGCGTGGATCTTCGTGTGTCCAGTAACACACAGCTTACAGGAAACATACCCAAGAACGTGGTTATAAGTGACCCTTCATTATCTGAAGAGGTATGACTAGACTCTTATCCTGAACTCTCACTGGATGAGATCAGGTTCGTGTCACCGGCCGAGCCTCGTTTTATGGCTTTCGTTGGTTGATCAAAGGTTACCACACACACGAGCCCTCAGATCGCTCCGTGATTGGCTAGCTGGCCACACTCGTGCCGTAAACGCCACAAGTTTTTTCCCTTCCCCGCTTCCTCCGCATCCATTCGAAACCTACCGCGCGACAAGAGGGCCAGACTGCGGTGGCCTCTGGTTGCGACCTGTGCGGGCTTGCGCCTTGGGACAAACTAGCGCGGGGGCGCAAGTCCACGTCAGTTCCTTCCAGCTTCCCCAACCGCGAGGGGCCGTTTCCCCGCAGTTTTTGCGAGCACTCGTGTGTTTCTGCCCTTGCAGTTCTCGCGCGCACTTCCGCGCCAGCGCTCCTCCTGTCCAGCTCCTTCTGGGCAGTGCTGCTGCGGTTCGAGAATCCAGAATCCGCCGTTGCTGCGGGAGTCCGCCCGATCTGCGGAAAAAGGTGTTGTTTTGTCCATCAAGACTCAAGAATCAAGTTCCCCACCACTTCCCCCCATTCCTCCTTCCCCCCCTCCCCCCTTACTTTTTCCCCATTCCGCATCTGCATTTCCTTCCCCCCATCCCTCGCTCGCCCCGACCAGCTTCCCCCAGCTGCCCGCCCCTCTCGCGCTGACTGATTAGGCAGATCGAGTCCAGATTGAACGTCTATTGAACAGCGGGCTCTGGATTCCACTATAAATAGAGTCTTACTTCTCCTGCCCTAGTATGTACAGCATTAGAAACCTTCCTAGCCCAACCAAACCTGATCATCGCACCTTACCTTCGCTCCAGCGCTTGAGCCTACAAACCCCTTGCATAGTTCGCTTTGTTACCGCGAACCGACCAACCGAGAGCGTTTGTTGAGCTTCCATATCGAACACGACTCTTTGACCACCCAACACGTCCAATCATGGCTCTTACCGCTGGAACGACGACTGCTTGCCTGTCTACCGTGCGTGCGCTTAGCAGCTCTACCACAACATGCGCTTCCCACGGCCCCAGCTCGCGACAGCTGCACGTGCCGCAGGGTTCGCATCTCAGACTGCCACGTGGCGACACCACGGCAGTTTCCGCGATGATCGGAACCGGGCTTGGATCAGCTCGAGCTCTTTCGTCTAGCTTCGTAAACGTTGAACAAAGGGGATTGCCCTCTCTGCAGCAATCTATTCGTCGCCGCCAACTAGCCCTCCGGACTTCACGGCATGAAGTGCGGGCATCCGTCGCAGGAGATAGAAGTGATTGCTCGCGCGAGGATGTAGCGAAGGATTCGGTCCCCTCGGACCCCCCTGCGTCGCGGAGCGGAGGCGGCACCATTCTCGGTGCAGTCACGCTCATTATTGGCTCGTCCGTCGGCGCGGGCGTTCTGGCCTTGCCTTCCGAAACCGCTCCTGCGGTAAGTAAAGGACCTCCGCCCAGGGGGTCGGGTTGAAGGGAAGGGGAGGAAGGGAGGGGAGGGGGTAAAGGCGGGGGGAAATAGGGTGGGGGGTGGGAAGGATGGCGAGTAGGGTTGGGGGGGCTGAAGTGGGTCTTCCTATTCTATTATTTTCTCTGTCCGTTTCGTTTCTGATTTCTTCTTTCTTTCTGCTCGTGCTTCTGTTGTTTCAGGGCTTCTTCCCCTCGTCCATGGTCCTCATCGGCTGTTGGGCTTTCCTCGTTCTCGAGGCGCTGCTGCTGGCCGAAGTCAATGTCGCTCTGCTCAAGGAGCGGTCCGATAAGAGCAAGACCGCTAACGCGTCTTCGTCATCCGATGCCGAGGCTGAGCGAGGGTCGGACGTTCTCTCCTACCGAACCATGGCCGAGGCGACACTCGGGCCGCTGGGCGGCACGATCGCAACCGCGGCGTATCTATTCTTGTCGTTTACGTTGATGGTGGCGTATTTCGCCAAGGGCGGCGAAGTGATGTCGTTGGGGACGGATCTGCCGCGTTGGCTCGGTGCATCGGGGTTCGCAGTGGTGCTCGGCGGTTTGATCTACTGCGGAAACACGCGCACTGCTGACCTGGTCAACCGAGCTCTGACCGCCCGCCCTGCTTGGTACGAACTGGTCCTTCGTGTTTGAAAGCGACCGCGCATTGTTGTTTGTTGTGTTTCATCTGCCCAGTTTTGAACCTTCCATGATATGACACTGGGCGCTCATGCTTTTCCACCTTCTACCTCTTTCCTTTGCTTCCTTCTCTCTCAGGAATCTTCGCGGCCCTGGTTTGCGGAGGGCTCCACCCTCGCCGACTGGGACCAGCTGGGCTTCGCGGATTGGTCCGACATGTCATCCACGCTCCCCGTCATCTTCCTCGCGCTCGTCTTCCACGATCTCGTCCCCGTCCTCTGCGCGTACCTCGACGCGGATCTCCGGAAGATCCGCACCGCGCTCCTCGTCGGCAGCTCTGTGCCGCTCGCGATGTTTCTAACCTGGGATGCCATTGTGCTCTCCATCTCGCCGTCCTCCATCGCCGCCGCCGGCGCCGCCGGAGCCGCTGCCGGCGCTAACGCCGGGGATCTCGCCTCGTCCGTCCTCTCGTCCGTTTCCGCCGTTGGATCTTCGTTCGCGAATCTCGCGTCGTCGTTCCCTACGTCTCTAGCGACCGCGCTCTCAGCCCCCGCGCTTCCAGCTCTCGCGTTCCCCGCTCAGGACCCCTTCCAGCTGTTCATGCACCAGGCCACCCCCCTCCAATCAGCCGCCGTTCTCGCGTTCTCTTTTCTAGCCGTTGCCACGTCATTCCTCGGTTCCTCGCTCGCCCTATCGGAGTTTTACATGGAGCAGATTGGTAACTTGGTTTTCGGCGGGAAAGCCGCGGAGACCAAAGCGGAGGATCAGTTGCAGAAGCAACAGGAGGGTGGTACTAGCGGGGTTGATATTAAGGAAGCCGGAATTAGGGTTCGTTAGGTCGCATGTGAGAGAGGTGGGATTCCTTCTGGCCCTCTGCCCGCCTCTCGCGGTAGCTTTGGCGAATCCGGGGGCGTTTGTTGCGGCGAGCAAGGCGGCAGGCGCATACGGCATGACGGTATTGTACGGAATTTTGCCGCCCCTGATGTTCTATATGCATCACAAGCAGAAGGCGGAGAACGAGGCTAAGGCGACCGGTTCGGCAGGAGGTTCGTTCTGGGTGCAGCCAGGTGGCAGCCTCGCGTTGGCCAGCATGGGCGGGTTATCGTGTGCTGTGATCGCGGGTCAAGCGGTGATCGATGCATCCGTGATTTCACCTGGTTCGCTCGCTTCTCCCCAACCGTCGATTGTTTTGGCCCAAGGCGATCGTGATTCCATGGCTGACATTCCCTCTAGAAGCCAACTCACTATGGCGACAATCCGAAGCCCGGTTGCGGCTTGGTACCCTCGAGGCTCCTCCCCTCGTTTACGCTAGCCAATCACTGGCTGCCAGCTGCATGACCGCCCCTCCAACCTCTGATCTCCAGCACGATGCGTTCTTGAATCTTCGGGAGTCTGCCTCGACGAACCCCATGCTGGCTCCGTTACCCGTTTCGCACTCTTCACAGTGCCTGACGTTCATGATGTCAGACCTTGACGCGTTTGATTCGACACAGGAGTCCCTGATTGTGGACATTTGAAGGTGGAGGAAACTGTAGAAGCGGGTGCATAAGCGCCTGCAAGTGGCTTCGTGATTTGTTGAGTAGTTTGCTTGTACAGGTAGGTTAGAGCGTGATGTGCAAGAGATAGGCAAGTAGGACCCTGCATTGAAACACTTCTTGCCCTGTACATATCAAAGTGATCTAATTTCAATTATTTACTGTTCCAACAGCAATAAAAAGATCACCATTGGCAACCACCTGAAGCATACAGCCTCTTCTACATCACAATACATACATCCATCTCAGATATTTCGCTGGGCCTGAAGTTGTAAATTAACTCACATTCTTGTTCTCCAATTCCCAAATTTTAACATTTTACCATGTACTGTGAAGGTGTACTTATCACATGTGAACATTGCAACCACAACTAAATGACTATCAAGCACAACACTGATGGACACTTCAGGTGAGAACAAGAGCAAAACATGCTTCATATCTCAACAACACTTGGACTGTCAGGCAAAGGCATGTGCAGGTCTGACGTGTCAGGAGCAGATTGGCTCGCGAACACAAGAGGCGGGTTGACCGCACGAGCATTAGCAGCTACAGCAGCTGGGCTGTTTGCTACTGCTGCTGGGCCAGAGCAAGAAGCTGGGTCGACACTACTGCTGCTGCTGCTGGGACTGTTACCGCTGTCGTTGATGTGGTTGTTGTTGTTGCTGCTGCTGCTACTGGTGGTGCTGCTTACGATGATATCGCCACCGCTGTTGGCACCCACTACAGAACCACACTGCTGTGCGCTGTTATCCAGTACCGAGTCGCTCTGAGCGAGGACAAACGATGCTCCTTCCCCACGCGACGACAGGAAGGAAGTGTCAAGGGAAGAATCGAGCAGGGCTTGCCCCGCGATGACGGAGAAAGCGCACGCTCCCATGCTGGCCAGGGCGAAGCTGCCCCCAGGCTCCAACCAGCGATGGTGTGTTGAGCAATCCTTGGTTGCTGGGTCGCACACTATTGCTTCCTGCTTGGGACATGGTGGAAGGAGGGAATGCAGCCAGCCAGGTTAGGGTCGGAGAAAGCGCAGGCTCCCGTGCTGGCCAGGGCAAAGCTGCCCCCAGGCTCCAACCAGCGATGGTGTGTTGAGCAATCCTTGGTTGCTGGGTCGCACACTATTGCTTCCTGCTTGGTACAAGGCCAGGATACAGGCAGCCGGAGGCGAGGAGGGAAATGTGAAGGAGAAGGGAGAGGAGGAGGGAGAGCAGAAAGGATTTCCGTTTTGAGGCTGCCTTGCTAGCAAGAAAGGATTACCATGGTGTCACAACGCGGCCGGATTCGCCAGATGCACCAGCAGAGGCGGGCAGCGGGCTAGAAGAAACCCCATCCCACCCCACCCCACCACACCCCCACCGCACCCCACCTTCCTCACCTGCTTGTGATGTGCGTAGAACATGAGAGGAGGCATGATGCCATACAGCACTGTCATGCCGTATGCGCCTGCTGCCTTGGGCACAATCAGCACCCACTAGGCATCCCTCCCAACCCACCTGCATTCCCCCCAACCCACCTGCTTTTGATGCGCGTAGAACATGAGGGGAAGCATGATGCCATACAGCACTGTCATGCCGTATGCGCCTGCCGCCTTGATTTGGATCGGCAATGACATGGTGAGAGAAGCCCCCCACCTGCTTTGTGATGCGCATAGAACATCAATGGAGGCATGATGCCATACAGCACTGCCTGCTGCCTTGATTTGGATCGGCAATAACAGGGTGAGAGAAGCAACCCACCTGCTTGTGATGCGCATAGAACATCAATGGAGGCATGATGCCATACAGCACTGTCATGCCGTATGCGCCTGCCGCCTTGCTTGCCGCCACAAACGCGCCAGGGTTTGCCAAAGCCACCAGCAGAGGCGGGCAGAGGGCCAGAAGAAACCCTACCTCCCTCCCATGCGACCTCACAAACCCTAAACCGGTTCCCGCGATATCTACTGCAGTAACTGCTGTCTCCTGCTGCTTCTGAGCTTGATTCCTTTGGCTTTTCAGGTCTATTCGCCCATGTTGTTCCTCGTTTCTCCTCTTGTCACCCACGCTTATCACCCCAGCTGCTCTTCATCCCTCTTCTTGTCACCTGCACTGATCAATCCCAGTTGCTCCATGAAAAATTCAGCTAGGGCAAGTGATGTGCCAAGGAACGACGTTGCTACGGCAAGGAAAGAGAATGCGAGAACGACGGAGGATTGGAGCGGCGAGCCTTGCAGCAGGAGGAGGTTCAGTGGGTCTTGGAAGGGCGTGGAGAGCGAGTGAGGGAGTGAGGAGTGAGTGAGGAGCGAGTGAGGGAGTGAGAGGGAGCGAGTGAGGGAGTGGAGAGGGCGGTGGAGAGAGAGGAGGGGAGGGAGGAGGCGAGGTGGGAGAGGGAGGAGGAGAGAGAGGAGACGGCGGAGGAGAGGGAGGAGAGGGAAAAGGCACCGGCAGGAGCAGCAGCGGCGGCAGCAGCGGCCGAAGTGAGGGAGGAAGGGGAGATGGAAAGAGCTATGGCGTCCCATACTAGAAACATTGTAAGAGGTGCTGCACTCCCGATCACAATTGCCGCCCGAATCTTTCCCAGATTCGCGTCCAGATACGTGCAGATCACGGGAATCAAATCGTGGAAGACCAGCGCGAGGAAGATCACGGGGAGAGTGGTCGGCATTTCTGACCAATCAGCAACTGCCAGCTCATCCCAGTCCGCGATTGCCGCCCCTCCGCAGACCAGCAGGGTAAATATCCCCAGCAAACCAGCTGTCAATACCCGGTTAATGATATCCGCTGTTCTGGTGCTGCCGCTGTAGATTAAACCACCCAGCACCGAAAAGAACCCCACTGCACCCACCCAATTGGGCAGACCCGTACCAAACGCCAAAACTTCCCCTCCTTTTGCGAAATACGCGACTATAAGGGTGAAGGACAAAAACACGTATGCTACTGTAGCTACAGTGCCGCCCACGGGACCCAGAGTCGCCTCGGCCATGGTTCGGTACGACAGGACGTCCGAGCCTCGCTCAGGCTCTTGTTCCGAACCTGCAGCTCCGGTACTGCTGATGGTGCCGCTATTGCTGCTGCTGCTAGCGGTACTGCTAGTAGCCATGCTGCTGCTAACGGTGCTGCTACTAACGGATCGCTCCTTGATGAGAGCGACGACGACACTTCCGCCAGCAGCAATGCCTCAAGACACAGGAACGCCCAGCAGGCTATTAGCACGAACGACGAGGGGAACACACCCTGAGAAAATACATTCGAGAAGGGATGGGAGGAGAGGGAGGGATGGGGCCCGGAATGGGAGGGGGGGAGAGGGGAATCGGGAAAGTGGGAAACCGAGGGATGGGGGGAGCGATGCAGGCATATTCACTCCTGCAGTCTAGGGTGAGGGATGCAGAGGGATAGGAGTCTATATGGCTTATTCACATCCTCATATCCGCTCCCCCTCTCCCCCCGCCAACACCTCGCGCGCAACAAGCTTACCGCAGGAGCAGTTTCCGCGGGCAGCGCCAGCACACCCGCGCCGACGGATGTTCCTATAATGAGCGCCACGGCTCCGAGGATCGTGCCGCCCCCGCTTCTTGAACTCGCCGTTGCATCTTTGACAGGCGCCGCCCCCGCCGCGCTACTAGCTGCCCTGTTTGGCGGTGCGTCGCGCGAAAGTGGCTGACGAAGAGCTCTGTCGCTCTTATTGGAGCCGACGCGAAAGGCATCGTTTTCGTTAGTATCACCAGCCCCCTCGTCACCTGCACACATCGTCACGTGTCTAAACCCCCGGGTTAGCCGCCGTAAATTCCGCCGTAAGAACCTCGACTGGCCCTGCCGCGGGCCTCGCGGCCAGACCTTATCTTGCCGCGATTCCCGCCCCAACCAACACTGCTGCGTCGTTCAGCGGCAAGTACCGATTGCTGTCGACAAGATCGAGCCGCGGCGCTTGTAAGCTCACCGCCTGTACGCCGAGCCGTCGTATGCGTTACCGCGGCGGTAGATGAGGCCGGATCGCCACGTGGCATTCGCAGCTCTGGCGCGAAAATGTCGCAGCTGCTGCCACACCCCTGCGCGGCTCGTACTCGTAGACTATGCGACGTTTCAACCGTCGCACGACACGTTCGCATGCATCGCAGCGATCGATCGACGGCTCCGCATTTACCGCCGGAAATGCCGCCTGCGAACTCTAACCGCGCCGCATCCCGCGGGAGGCGAACTCCCGCCGTTGGGACCATCGAGGTCAACCGCACTGAATACGCCATCGCAGCCGTTTCGTTACACCCCGCTTGAATGCGACGCTGGCCGCAGCTAACCGTACTCAATCGTACCTAACCGTGCCTTGCCGCCAACTAGCCGCACCCTAAAGTGCGCAATGCCGAAAGGCACGAGCTAAGGAGTGTGAGTAGGAAAGCAGACGCAGCAGCTGGGTGAGCAAACAAAGGTGAGATAAATAACTTCGCACGTATTCTGTCGGCACTCCAAGTGGTGCAAGTCCAGAGAGAATGGAGGCTAGAAATGAGGTAATACATTTGGCTCGACTTCTGTTCGGTTGGCATGCTGTGCCGTGTGCTGTGTGTGTGTGTAGTGTACCGAATCCACTCAACTGGTCAGTCAGCGAAACGAGGTGGTTGCGTTGGCGGGAGCGCAGTTGCGGCCGCAAACGAACGAACCAGCGAGAAGGATTGTGCTTCCGCGCATCGTCGATTCGCCGCCCGAGTGTGTGGTGGAGTCTGCGAATCATCGAACGCGAAACAGCGTGTCTAATAGAGAAGACCTGCGATTCGTTGTCAAGGGATGAAAACGACATGGACGATTTAACAGGTTTCCCTGTCAAGTACAGATTTCTGGGTACATATAATGGACTTCCAAAGATTTGATTTGCAACAAGAACTTGCATTTTGGTGGACCTAAGTGTCTGAATAGACATTTCAGTTGGCACTTATCGAGGGTTGTAGAGAAAGGCCCAACAAATTCGCAAATTCATGGGCAGAACTCGGCAAACCCAACCATGTAAAAAAATTGCGGCAGAAATTAGCCACGTGTGACCACGTCATAAATCACTCCACGAAGGGGCCACGGCTCGAAGATTTCACGATGTCCATCGGAAAACGCTGGTCTACTCAGCACAAGTGCAGATTCAAAATATCCATGTCAGACTGGCGTGGCAGAGCATTCATGTCTGCCAAACATCCATACCCACTACAGCCATGCCTTTTTAAGATTGTGCTTTTAAATCCCAAGATAAAGAAACCATGTACAATTAGTACGACTCCTTCAAGAGAAGGTATGGTGAAGTTTTTTAGTACCCCCTTACTGGTTCAGAGCCCGAATCAGGACCTCTCTATTAACTTCTAGAGACCCAACCCTTGGGCTAAGGGTGCTATCTCAGTCAACCCTCATCCAACCATACTTGTGTGGTTTCTACTTCAGTCGTCCAATCTCTGTCGCCTTCTAGGAGGGCTTTTGTCTCCTCTCTCCTCTCCTCCCCCATCATTCCCTCTCCTCGCTTGCTGAGATGCTGCTGCTACTGCCATTGCTGCTTCTGCTGCCGCTGCCGCTGCTGCAGCCGCTGCAGTGGGTGCCACTGGTCCTCCTCCTCCTCCTCCCGCTCCTCCCCTGCCTCCTGCTCCCCTTCCTCCTCCTCCACTTGCTCCTCTCCCCCCTCCACCCCTCCCTCTACCTCCTAGACTCATTCTCCCTCCTCCCCTTCCTCCCCTCCCTCCCCTCATCCCTCCCCCTTCCGCCCCAGAAAACTCGCCCCTCCCCATACCTCTCCCTTCCCTCTTCCTCCGCCTCTCCCCCCACCTCTCCCCCCCTCCTCCCATCCCCCCTCCTGGATGTCCCGGGCCTTCTCCCGGACCTCCCTGCCACCGAACCTGCGGCGGAGGCATGGGTTCGTTCGGACCTCCCACCATGCCCCGAGGAGGAGGCTCGGGAAAACCGTGCCTTCGATCATCCAACAGCTCAGGAAAACCATGTCTTCCTGGGCCTCCAGGCTCGGAAAACCCCTGCCGTCCCGGACCTAGCGGTTCGGAAAATCTCTGCCTCCCTGGGCCAGGAGGCTCGGAGAATCCCTGCCTCCCCGGGCCTGGAGGCTCAGAGAACCCCTGCCTTCCCAGACCGGAAGCTCTGGGAAGTGAGAGGGAGGGTTGTTGAAGTTTGGATTGTGTGGTGGAGGCGCATGTGGGGGAGGTTGTGCTGATTGTGCTGCTCATGCTGCCCTACAAACTGAGGCTGAGAGGAGGGAGGGGGGCGTTCCTGAAATGACTGCCTATCCGGCAGCATTTGCCTGCTAGGAGGCGGCATGGGGGTGGCGGGATGGTTGGGAGCGTTGGGAGGGAGTGAGATGCGGTGCTGGGGAGCATGTGAGGGAGGGTGGGAGGAGGAGAGGGGAGGAGGGAGGGACGAGAAGTGCGGGTTTGCATGGGAAAAGGGGGGCTCGTGAAGGGGTGGCATGGGGTGGGGGGGGAGGGAGCCCTCTCGGGTTGAGTCTGGGTGTGAGAAGTGCTGTGGGGGTGGTGATGTTTGGTTGCGAGGGTGGGGGGAGGGGGCGGGGGAAGGATGGGAGGGCCCTGTCTCCCCTGGGGAGGATGGGGGCCGTGGGGAGCATGGGAGGGATGGGGGGCGTGTTGGGATGGGGAGGATAAGGACTTGACTGGGGGGGATGGTTCGGGGGATGGGGAGATGAGTGGGAGGGGAGGGGGTGGAGCATGTGAGGGGGAAGGTGGGGGGATGGGTGAGAGGAGGGGTGTGGTTGGCCTTGAGAGGGGGGATGGGGTGAGGCATGAGGGGGATGAGTTGGAGGTCCATGTGGGGGACCATGAGGTCCAGAATGTGGTCCAGAGTGAGGCCCGGTGTGAGGCCCAGGGTGTGGCCCGGAATGAGGTCCGGAATGAGGTCCGGCGGACACGGATTGCCAGTCAGCATCGGGAAAGGCAGAGGTGAGTTGCTGGAAGAATATGCGGAGGAAGTGATGTAGCTCCACTGATACCTGTAAGGCACACGTTGAGGAGGCAGAGGAGAGGAGAGGAGAGGAGAGGAGAGGAGGAGAGGGAGAGGAGAGAGAGAGGAGAGGAGAGGAGGAGAGGAGAGGAGAGAGGGGTAAGCAGTGAGTTGCTGGAAGAACGGGGGTGATTGGAAGGCAGAGGTGAGCTGCTGGAAGAATATGCGGAGGAAATGGTGTAGCTCCACTGGTCTGGTACCTGCCGAACGAAATGAAGAGAGCAGAGAAATGAGAAGCAGGAAGGCATTGGAGAAAGGGCTGCAGAGGAGAGGGTGAGAGAGAGGGCAAGTGGGGAGACTAGCGGCTAGCTGATAGAAGGAAATGAGGTCGAAACACGCTGATCCAACTGTGGCACTTCGTAACACAGGTTTGAATGACAATTTCTTACCTATTCAATCCCTACTAGCCTAAGCTCAGCCTAGAGGAGACTAGGACGGGTTAGGACCGTTGGATCCAGGTCTAAACTATCTTTCTATGCTACAAGAGGTTGAAACATGCCGATCCAACTGTGGCACTTCATAACATGCACCTCCTCCCCTCCTGGTCGCCTCGCCTCCACAGACCACCCTTTTACACTTTATTTCTTACTCCTCATCTCTCTCTCTTATTCCGCACTCTCACCTCTCGGTTGCCCTTGTGCCATCGCAGGTACCTCCACAACCCAAAGCTGTAAGACTTCTGAACTCCTCTTCTCTCCTCTCCTCTCCTCTCCTCACCTCACTTCCTCACTCACCTCTCGGTTGCCCTTGTGCCATCGCAGGTACCCCTCCACAACCATCCGAACCTCTTCAAACACCTGCACCACCGATTGGTACCCCCCTGAAAACAACCTCTCCTCCACGCCTCCCATCGTCACCCCATCCCCTCCATCTCCCCTCCTCCCCTTCCTCCTCCTCTCCCTCCACCCCCCTTCTCCTCCTCTACCTCCTCTTCCTCCACCTCCCCCGCTCCTTGCGCTGTCTTGACTTGCCGATTTATCTAACAAGTAATCTCCGATCCTCTCCCCTCTGCTATCCAGAGAGGCATTAAACTGCATTAGCATGTCTGCACATTTCCGAACCGCAAGCCCGGCTGGAGGCCCGGCAGCCGGCGGAGGTCCGGGCCGAGGTGGTCCGGCAGAATGGGTTGGTCCACCGGGATGCATAGGTCCGGCAGAGCGGATAGGTCCCCCAGAGTGAATAGGTCCGGCAGGAGGTCCGGAGGGGAGTGAGTGCTCTGTGAGATGCCTTGGTCCGGAAGGGGGCATAGGTCCGGCCGAACCAGAGATAGGTCCGGCAGAATGAGGAGGCAGGGAAGTGGGGTGAGAGGATTGGTGGAGGAAGCAGAAGGGTGATTGGGATGCAGTTGCGGTAATGGTGGGGGGAGGAAAAAACCGGTCTCTCTTCTCTCCCCCATCCCTCTTCCCTCTCTCATCCCTCCTCCCTCTCTCATCCCCCCTCCCTCTCTCATCCCCCCTCCCTCGCCCATCCCTCTTCCGTCCCTCATCCCGCCTCCCTCTCTCATCCCGCCTCCCTCCCTCATCCCCCACCCCCACGTGCTGCTGCTGCTGTGCCGAACCTACCTCCTCCTGGTTCCCTCCCCTCTTCTGAACCTGACCTGAAGCCTGGAGGGTTGCCGAACCTGTCATCCCGAGCCTCGTTCCTCTCTGTCCTGTCTCCCCAACCTCACCCTCACCGAACCTCTCATTCCGAACCTCACTGCCACCGAACCTGTCCCTCTCATCCCTCCCCTGGAACCCCTCGGTGTTGAAACCCCCCTCTTCAAGGATTCCCCTCCTCTTCCCCCTGCCCTCTTCC